GGGCTTAAAAATGGCTTACTAGCCGATGTTGATGTAAAAGTGTAATAAGTGTGGTGAAGATATAAAAAAACACAGCCTTATTTTATATTATTATAAATACTTCACCTAAAACAAATAAGCACACATGAATTCTTTTTTTTTTTAATTAAATAGGCCATGGTTTTTAAAAATTAAAGTTGCCATAATGCTACATGTAGTTAAACTATGTCAGTGATGCAGTACATTTCCTTAAGATTATTCTTTGGGGCAATTGTTAGTGAAGTTGAAGCTTTACTGATGGTGGTGGAAATTTAAAGTCAAATGAAAATTTCCAAAAGTCGAAAAGACTTAGTTATATTGCATACATTACGTACATTATATATTATGTGGTTCAGGGTGGCGACCGACCTGGAAAACCTGGAAAAGTCAGGGAATTTTCAAAACCGGGAAAAGTCGGGGAGAAGTCAGGGAAAAATTGTTAAAGTCAGGAAATTTTTTTAATTCGAAAATATTCTTTTTAAATTGGAATTAATAGACAGTGGATTAATATAACGATCTTAAGGGGCCTGGTAAATTTCGTTGTTATAATTTATAATTGTTATAGCTGACCGGATCATCTTCATGTTTATATCGTTATATAACCTATATCTATCCACTGTTCACTGTCAATAACGGCCCTGGCCATTATATCGGAATTAAACAAGGGTAATGAAGTAAAATTTAAGCAAAATGGAGTTAAAGCAGTGCTTTTTAAAAAAGAATAATATAACAATACTGTTCACTATCTGTAAGTATAAATCTATTCGTTGGTTAACTAAAGGAGAACGTTGGCAGCTTCACATAATTCATGCTTTGGTAGAGTCGTAATATGCGAATGAGCAAAATGTGGTTGGACCCTCGGACTTTAAAACGCATTTTGGTCCTTAATTTTGTGATGATTGTTATGCATATTGAAGTCTCTTATACTAACAGAATATATAAAAGCTATGTAATATGTTTATACATCCTAGTTCTGTTATAAAATAGTTAAATTAGGCCAAAATAAAGTATTGAAAAGATAAAAAGCACTTATTTTGTGAACGACAGATACTACAAGGAAAATACGACTTCGATTCTCTGAGCTTTAACAGCCGTTTAATTTTCTTACATATTAATGTGTCTGTATGAGGTGCATACGAAACTTGATGCTCTTTCAAATGGATCATATTGAATTTCTTCGATAGATGCATAGATTATGAGTTTTGGGGAAACCCGACAAAAATAGATTTTTCTTGTGAAAAATGCAAACAGTAAAAATTCTCTTAATGCTCACCCGTTAGCCCTACATCAAAAAGTTGTGCATACATTGATAGTAAATTTTATCTTCTTTAACGTTATATATAATAATAATTTCGATAAAATGCACAGTTTCTGATTCTTGTCCAAAAAAACTAAAAAAAATCGAAAATTTTGGTGTTTTTGCGTATATCTCGAGACGCAATGGAACATTTTGTTCGGGAACGTCAAATTCAGATCAATATACCAAAAAAACATAAAAACCCAAAGAGAAACCGACTATTTGAATTTCTTTTTTCCAACCAACTACTATCGGATTGCCCTAATGTGATGAATTTGACTGACGTCGTCGGTCAATGTGTATTCTTTTAGGAACATATTCTTTACGTCATATCAAAATTTCAGCTGTCAGTTTTCCGTTAAATACACCGTCAAATTTTTCCTCGTTAATTTTAATTTTCGTATAGAAAGGAATTTTTCAACTGACTGAACGAAGTTCTGTGTTCAGATGAGGTTTATTTAGAATTTAAAATGGTTACTAGCTTATAAGTCCTTCCTTTAAATAAAATTGTCGGTAGCTCTTTGTCTAATAGCGGAATATTGAGAAGAACTGATTTTGTCGTGAGTAGATAGGTAGTCGTTGTTTTTTGGATATAACTGATTCTGCATGTCCTCGATTAGATTCGTAATTTTTTCAAATTGTTTATGTTAAGATTTATGTTGAATTCTTGAGCCAAGATATTATTAGACTCTTCAGTTTCCAGTCGGCAACATGTATAGAATTGTTCTTATATCTAGAACTTTTTGCTCTTCCTTATTCTTTTTAAACTACTAAACAGAAATATGAATTTAACGCTAAGATTGGGAATGAAATTGGCCCTATTAATTTGATTCTTACATAAGAAACGAATGAAATAAAATATTTCCTCGATAAATGAGATATAAACACAAAGGTTTTTAGGAGTTCAAATGTCGCTATATACGATCATTTTTTTCTAAAAACTCTAAGAAATCGAGTCAGTAAATTCAATCGCTGTATCCATTCAAAATCACATTACAAAATCCATCTGAATCATCCAACATGCCATTTTCGTCGTGATATTGTAATTCGAAGAAATTTTAATGTAATCTGCAGCCTTAATTATTATAAGTCCTTCAATATTGTTATAAACTATAAAACCACATCGCTATTCCAACTTAATAGAAATTTTATTTTAATAAATAGTTTTTTACGTTCTCCCATTAATTGATCCAGAGACAAATAAATTGAAACTACAATTCAGTATTAATTTCACACATTACTTATTAATACTAAAAATACAATTGAAAAATCATGACCTCAGTCGAGACAGCGAAAGTCTCAGGAAGTGATACGTCCAATCAGGCTATGTATGGTGCCAATGGGGAACGTTTATGGCAGTTTTTTTTAATATTCAGTTTTGAACTCTGCAGCAGCCAGAAATTTAGTTTAGACATATCCAATTGTCGATTAGTAGTATTGTTGAAAACTTCGATTTTTACAGATAGTTCGGGAACAGTTGAGTTGCCTTCTGATTTTTAACTGTATGTTTAATATTGGCGAACGATAGATACCTTTATATTATTTAAATTATATTTTTATTTAAAGCATGTGACAACGGTCGTAGCAATTCATTGGCTGGCAAGCACTTGTTCGTCCTGGAGTAGATATCAAGCCACTAGAAAACAGAATGGCTGCCATGTGAAGATAGAAGAGACCTTACATTAGATTTCAAGTCAAAAAATTGAATTGACGATTAAAAAAGTTTACTTTTATCGGTTTTTCGCTTATATCAGTAAAACTATGCGTTATATCTATAATAGTGTGATATGTGAAATTAAAGCTGACAAAATTTGCAATAGAAATGGTTACATTAGTTTATTCGCTATATTCTATACTTTCAGTGATATTCGCCCTCGTAATTCACTAATTTCGGAAATAAATAAATTTTGCATGGCATTTTTATCATTATTTGACTTGCCAACTCTTTATCTTTTCTTTCTATGAAAAAGTCATGAGTAAGAAAGTTGTAAGTTGTAATTTTCTTTAAGAATATATCTCATTTTACGACTTTATCTTCAACCATTCAAAGGCTAGAGCAATTATAATTTAATGATTAAACTTACAGAAAATACATACAATACTGAAAAACTTTTTCTCATCAGGCCTGTTGATATTATCAATTTATAAGGACAAAGCTTTGTATGAAATATGACATCCACGGGCTCCTGGACTATTATAAGAGCATGTAAAAACCTGAAACGTCTCAGTTTTTTTATTTGGGTCCACCCTTTCGACATTGATACTATATGAAGCTTTTCCTTGGTGGAAGGCGGGGATGTTTAAAACTCCCCTGGCACCAGGACGCGAACTCATAATTATTTTATCATGTAAACTTGAGTTTATAAGGTTGCCGGGAAACGTATGTTTTACACAGCTTTGGGGGGGACTAAGGTTCAGTCAATGAATGCCTGAAAAGGGGGTAATAGAAAAAAGTGGAGGAGACTCAAATTTATTTTTCTTCAAAATTCGCTATAGTTGAAGATAGATATCTCGCTATCTAAGCGAGGTAGCAAAAAAATTTATAGAATCAATCATATTGCAAATTTTATCAGCTTTAATTTTGTGTGGAATGTGTTTGTTGATGCAATGGATAGTTTTCCTGATATAAGTGAAACCCCAAAAATTTCCTTCTGTAATCATTTATTGATTGAACTACTCGGCCATCTCGCCTCACAGTTAGTATCGTATGGATAATTATTGTTCTGTTTGTGGCAATAAATAAACTAAATTGCCTTTCATTAAAATAAGAATAGCCCATTTATTTAATTAGTTTATTTCATAATAGATAAAAGCGTCAAGTATCAACTTTTACATTCTCTTTCTTTATGAAAATAAAGTGCTTAAAGTATTAATAAATAGGCGATAAAAATAAATTACTTAAGGTCAGTTTTCTAAAATAAAATAAAAAATCCTAATCATGTTTAAAAAATGCTTCCTCTTGAACATTATGTTTGTTTTTTAAAAGACTGAACAGATTTTTTTTTACTCTAATTTTTCAATTTTCAATCATGTATGATAAATTAAATAGTTATAAATTATATATATATATATATATATATATATATATATATATATATATATATATATATATATATATATATATATATATAGTTATACTTATAAATTAATTAGTTATGAACTATATATTTTTAACATTTGTGTTCCTTGACATATTGGTCAGGGAAAACTTTCATTAAACAGAGAAAAGTCAGGGAATTTTACTCTGACAATTTGGTAGCCACCCTGTGGTTATTATTGAATACGAATCTAGGAAATGTGGTGGAGACCATGTCAGCATAATATTTACAGCAACCAAACAATACCATCAAAGTGTGACAGCTCTACTTTAAAAATAATCATTCATTTATAAAAGCTAATAGAATACATTTTAAATTAAATGCTTTTATTTAAAGACAACAGGGTTAGAAAAAAAAACTAAAAGATATTACTTGGATGGAAGTTTTGAAGCTGGAAGCACTAGTGTAACTACTGTTTAAACACTAACCTTTATCAATGAACAAAAATTGAAAATTCATGCTAGCACTCAATAAAAATTTCCTTGAGCAGTTGAGTAGGACATTCGTCCCCTTGAATATTGTCATATGCTTATGATAAACCCTCTATATATAAATACTTGATATAGTTTTTTATTTATTTTTTTTAGAAAAAGTACTCCAATTATACATCACAAATTGTAAAGTTATCTGGAAAATTGTCTAATAACACAGCTGTGCTGTTGAACAGCAAATTAAAATTGTTACTAATGGATGCAATATACAACTTATATATAGTAAATAATTTAATAGAAATAAAAGTTACATCTCTTACTGACTGGAACTGGGAAAAGTGTTTGAGGTAACTTTTTACTTTCTTTATTCATTAGCGATGAAAGCATAATGCCTTTTCTAGATGTATTATTATAATGTGATGTTTTACCCAAAAAAAATATTTATTAATAAGTTATCTTAATCTTAGATGAGTATAATTTTTCTCAATTATTTTTACATTAAAAGATGGATTTAACCATTATAATTAAGCCACCATTAAACCATGTGCATATCTTTATATAGTCCGTCCTCCTTCACACTGTCATATGCGGCACAGATTTCTATAAATAGGTGATGGGTTTGGATATACTATTCTAGGATTTGTTCCAGCATCAGCCTAAGGTAAAACATTTTGTCTGTTGTACCCTTTCCTCTCAAAGCCAGCTTGGTATCTGCCTATCTCTCTCTGCATGGGGCAGTAGCCTGAGGAACAAAATTCTGAACAGCATTTTGTAAGCACTGGACAGCTGTAAGATGCCTGGATAGATTCTGCAATTCAGGATGTCCCCTTTCTTGTGAATAGGGAAGATAATAGTCTTGTAACAGTCTGCTGAGATTCTCCCTCTCATCCACACATCCATAATAATGATGTGAAGAGTTTTCACTACCTCTTGTCCTCCATACCTAAACAATTTAGATGGCAGCCCATCAGCTCCCCATGCCTTGTTGTTTTTTAAACTTTCCACAGCTTTCCTGTAACCTCCTTAAAGTCTGGCGGCTCCAGGTCATCAGTTAATATTAACACTTCCTGTGTGGGCTGATGCTCAATTCCATCTTTCAGCATACTCACAAAGTGGTTTCACTACCAACCTAGAATACTCTGCTTTACATTCAGGAGAGTGCCTTCTGTGTCTTTGCATGCAATTAAATAAAGCTTGAAGGGTTTTCTACTGTTCTTCGCTTCTCGGTAGAACCTGCACACCTCATTGTTCCTTTTTAGGTCTTCCAGATTTGTTAATTGAATTGCCTCCCATTTCCAGGAATGCCCATATCTCCTAAGGTCCGCGGCGCAAGAGCCTAACCCTCTCCCTTCTCCCAAGGTAGGTAGGATTAGAAAAATCAGTTTTTTTTTTTTTTTTTTTTTTTTTTTTTTTTTTTTTTTTTTTTTTTTTTTTTTTTTTTTGTCCTCTCCTTCCTTTGCCTTTAAGGTTGCCGGGCAACGGCAGTGCTGTGCACACACGTCGCCCATCCCTCCCAAACAAAATTACAGTTCATATTCAATTACACTTGTTGCGACCTGTTCCATGTTTTTCTCTTGTCCCTTAGTACGAAAATTCATCCAGTCAAAATTTTTACCCCTCAAAAATTTTGAATTTGTGCCATGAAACCTCCTTCTGGGCATCTCTGGATTTAAACATTTCTCATGGCGTCTTTTGTTCCTGTATTCCTCAACAGATTCCTGTATTCCTCAAATGGGGTGTTGCTTCTATTAATCATTAGATGATATGCATCATCCTTTCCATTGGTAACCACCAGGTATTCTTCATGAAACCACTGATGTATGGTTATAAGGGTTTTATATTTGAGTAATTCACTGTCCACCTCCTTCATTGTGAATTAATAAACCTCCCAGTTCTGATCTATATTCTCTACCGGTATGATTTGACAAAATTTCTTGTCCATAATATCAGCATATCGTGTTTAATTATTAGGGACCTTGAGTCTCTAAATGTTGGGTTTTGGTAGTTGTGCTCTCCTTCAGGATCGAATTATCGAATTATCGATAGCCTAGCTTTTTATTTTTACAAGATAATGATCCAAATCCATGTTGGCTCCTCCATAAATTCTCGAATCTGAAAGACCTAATGCATGCCTTGAGTACATTGTCAATTTGGTTTACAGGTATCCCATTGTTAGATATTCAAGTGGTATGGTGAATATGTTTATGGAGAAAAACATACTGCCAATCCCCTAGATACTGCCAGGTGGGTAAGCCTCTTCCCATTATAATTAAACTCATTATGGAGGCTGTGTTTTCCTGTTATGGGTCGAAAAACAGGTTCATTCCTGATTTGTGCGTTGAATAGGTATTTTAATATCAGAGCATGGGAATCGGTCGTGGCATTGTTCCACAGCGCTGTAATATGAATCTTTTTCCTCTTCCTCAGAAACTTCGGTAGGGGTATGTACACTCAGAAGACTGTCTTTATAATCTTAGATATGGTTTAGGGGTGGATGTAATGCTGCAGTTCGATTAAGCGATAACACATTCCATGATCCTAATCGAATATACTTTAGACGGACGTTATATCGTAACTATGAGATCAGTCTGGCTTTTCTTTGTTCAAGATTCACAGTAGGTTGGATTTTTTCAGGGTTGAGTTACTTGAAATGTAGTTTCTATGACCATAACTATACTTGTACACAATTATTAAATAAATACCATCACCTGTATATATATTTTTAATTTTTAATTTATTTTTTTTTACTTTGATTCTTCATTAATTACATACACCATTCTAATTTATCAAATATTCTAATGTATTATCATACTATGCATTATCTTTTTGAATTAAAAATTTTAATATGCACTACAAATCATATTTCCCATTTAGTTTCATGCCATTCCATTTCATTCAGTACTTTTCTATTGTAGTTTGGATTTATTTAGTAATTATGTATTCTATTTCGCATTATCTTTCTTATCGTTATCTTGTCTCTACTTAGCCCTGATGAAGGCCTAATAATTAATCCATTTTTTAAAACATGGCATTCATGCATATTGTTTCAATCTTTATTTATAGCTTAGAAATTTAAAATAAGAGTTAATATAAAGATTTATTTAGTCGAGGAGTCAATATTTCCAAGTTTATTTTATTTATGATAAAGCATTTAATTTAATGTTTATAATTTTGTAATTTATACTTTATATTTATGTTTTACTTATTTGTTTACTGATGTCTAAAAAAAATAATTTCAGATTCTATCTACGTAATAATGATGTTTTTATAAGAATAGCTGATGCTGAATTTTCGTACACCTTTGAATATCAAGGAAATCAAAATAAACTTGTTCACACTACTTTAACTGATAACTGCTACCTTACATTGACTCAGGTTTAGTTTTTATATTTATATAGTCAATTTTTATTGTCTACTATCAGTTTTGTTTCTTATTAATTTAAAGTTTTACTTTGGATTTATTTGAAGTTTGACAGTTTTTCTTAATTATATTTAAAGGCACTTCAAATGGGATTTGGTGGAAATCCCTTTGGACCTGCTGGAACAGGAAAAACAGAATCTGTTAAAGCTCTTGGTTCTCAGCTTGGTAGACAGGTTCTTGTTTTCAATTGTGATGAGGTAAGCAGTACTTAAAAATTTAAATTAAAAGAACTTCTAGTAGAACCTCCATGGAACATTAAGTTTCTGTGAAAAACATTTTATGTTTAAAAGAATCAGCACTTTTCATCCTTGTTATACTAAAAACATTGCAGTTATTTTTTATAGTTGAAAAAATAAATGCAAAGATTCTTAAAAGAATTTGAATATTCATACGTTCGACTGTAATTTAGTCCTATAAAATAAATGAAGTCCTATTGTACAGTAATCAACCTTTTTTTGTTTTTATTCTTATTTTTCAGAATAAATTTTATTTACTTTTATTTATCTAGTATTTATACATAGATTACTAAGCAGACTGCAAACGGGTCATAATGGAGTTTTGAAATATGTGATATTTCTACGTCTGGTCCTCACAACTTACGTGAACAGTATGGGAACCACTAAAGCTGTTCAACTAATCATTTAGTGAGATAAGCATAATTGTTTTATTGTAGGTACGATCCTCAATTGTTGTGTAGTATAATACTCAAGCCCAACTACTGCTCATTTTGCTGGATTTAAGGCACAGACTACCTAATAATTTTAATAAATAATAATAATTATTTTTTCCATAAATAAAAGTATATCATAAAGAAAATTATTTATCCTTGTTATAGATTTTTTTTTTCGGTTTGCATTTCAGACCAAGTAGATCTTTTGCCACCTTAACAAGCCTTCTCCATCTCTACCTGTCTTGGGTAATTTATTTCCATTTATATGCACACAGCTCTATTGCATCTTAGTTAATTCTATCTATCCATCTGCTTTTTAGCCTTCCACATGGTCTTTTGCCTTCTATTGAGTCATTAATTGTTACATAGAGGCTTCTAGATGGATTGCTACTAGCTACATGCCCCACCTATTGTAGCACCCGCCTTCATATCATGGGATATTGATTGACCAGTTTCTTTAAGGAGTTCTTTATTGGTCTTTCTTCTCCATATGTTAGTACTCTGGTCCCAGATTTCTCCGGTTATTGGATGGAGGATTTTTCTCTCAAATCTTTCAACACTTTTTTCTAGCTGGTTATGAAATGAAAAATAATTTTATTCTGGGACTGAAGTCTCCTTAGAATAATAGTAGAGTTTACAAAATATGTACATTAGTCTGGCATGTAAGTATTATACAAATATATACAAAAAATACATAGGGAATTGTAAGCACATATATACTATACACACAAAGATATATACATATATACACACAAAGATACTAAGAAAAATACAAATATATATAAAAAAAAAAAAATACCAAGGAAAATATAAATGTCTACAAAACGTACTAACGATAAACACAGATATATACAATAAAATACTGAGATATAAAAAAATTAATAAATAAAAATAAAATGACTTCTATCAATTAACTGCTGGTGGCCAACGTAATTATGTAACCCAGAAATTTTTACAAGCTTGCGGAAGTTTAAATTGTAGTAGGTGGTGGAATAGGATTTGTTTGAAGGAGTTTATGGACGTGGTTTGACGTATGAAGATGGGTAAGGAGTTCCATAAGGAGGTAGCATGAATGACAAAGGATTTACTGAAGGAAGTGGTTTTATGGGAGGAGATATATAAATCTATAGATTGAGATCTGGTGTTGAGAGAGTGGATAGAAGAGCGTAAAGTAAGGAGTTATAAGATGTTTAGGATTTTTGCTTCTGAGGATTTGAAAAAGAAAAACACCAAGTAGGAATTGCTGTCGGGAAGTAGGATATAGCCACTTTAGCTCGGTGTACCAACAAGAAATATGAGAACGCTTGGGAATCCCAAATATGAATCTTATGAAGCAATTCATAATTTTCTTCAGTTTCGTCTCCAGTTCTGTGGACAGTCCTCCATACACCAGGCAACCGTAGTCGAAGTGGGGGAAGACAAGGGATATTACAAGGAGCTGTCTGGTTTTTTTTTGGAATGGAATCACAGAATCGAAGGAATTGTTTAATAAGGATAGTTATGGATTTACGGGTAATCTGGGAAATGTGGTTGTTCCAAGAGAATTTCTGATCAAAGATCACTCCAAGGTTTTTGACAGTTGGAAAGAAATGGACGGGATGGTTATTTATTTATTTAAAGCAAAGGGGAGAAAGAGAGAATCACTTTATTATCATAAAAGGGTACTGCCCAATTACATTGGGTTGCTTTAAACACAGCATACTTATTAATCGCTACAGACAATTTTCCAAAACTAATATACAATTATATAGTATTAACAACATGTATGAGCATAATATACAATTTTTTTTTTTATCTATATATATATTTTTTTTATCATAATTTTTTTCCCTATATTTTTATTTATTTTTTTTATTTATTTATTTTATTTTTACTATTTCTTTCATTCATTTATTAGCATTATACATCCCTTTCTGTTCCTTCTCTCACTCTATACATTTTTCTGGTTCCCTAGATTCTCTCCTCTCTTTTCCTAACCTAATTCATAACATGCATACAAATACATAAAGTGCAGTGGACGTGGTCAATAAATAATGTAAAAAAAATGCTGTAAAACACGCATGCCTCCCCCCCATGAACAAACTCTCTATGCATGCACATGGTGATGGATAATTCCCAGGGAGTCAAGGATTATATTCTCTGCCAACCTTGCCACGTCCTTTATGTCGACACCAAGGCCCTCCATGAAGCTCCTTGTTGATTCTGGTATCGTTCCGCGAGCTCCGAACCAAAGGCCTCTCACGTGGAACTCTCTCGGCCCGAAACTCTCGCGGAACTTTTCACTAAGGAAAGGGATGCATTTCTCATATGTCTGTTTTTTCTCCCTTTCCACTTTTCCTGCCTGATCGAGGTCGTTGATCTCATATCTCACGGTCGAATCCAAAATCATTGCCGACTTTCCCGTCTTAGGGAATGCTACAATGTCGGCATATAGGGTGGATCCATCCGTATCTATACAATATACTTCCTCGAAACAGGCGTAATCTCTCTCTTTGAGGAGCCTCATCAGTTCATGTTTGATTCGGTGGTGACGGCGCGTTATAAGGAAGGAGTTCTTGGGGCATTTTCCAAGCACATGTGCTGGTGTTTCTGGCTCTCTGTCGCATTTGCGACAGAGGAACCCAACTTCTCTTACCTGTCCGCTGACACCTGGGACTCCACGCAGGGGTGCATAATTAATATTTAGTTTCAGGGCATTTGACCATTCAGACTCAGAAAGCACTTGCTTATCTTACATGTATTTATTGGCTTTCGGGGTCTCTTTAAAATGGCGAACTCCAATGCCCTGCCACCTGCAATTGGTCCATTTGTCAAACGAATTTTCTCGAAGCGACTGCCGTAGAGCTCTCATATTCCGAATACCCCGATCAACCCCCAATCTCTCGGCACATTCATCAACCTCAATAATCAAAGATTGACTGAAAAAGGGCATCGGGCACATTGGACAGCCACTGAGCAATGGACCAATGTTGTAGAGGAGCCTCCCATTGGCAGCGGATTAATCCTAATCCTCGATACCTCCTGGGTACAACATTGCCGTGTAGGTGGTCGCAGGGAGTCCAACAATAGTCTTCACACTCCTGCGAATCATGGTGTCGATGCCGTTAAGTATGGCAGGACGCAGCTTTGTGAGGGGCGCAGTTTGGAAAGGGTAAGTAAGACCCGGGAACAGATATTGGTTGACAATGTTTAGCTTCTGCTCCGATATTTCCTACATCAAAATATTTAATCGTGCGGATCAGAACTCCATCAGGCCCCGGCGATGTGTCCATTGATGTTGATTTAATGGCTCTCTTGACGGCTTCTAGATCAATGGACACCAAATTTGGCAACGGGGCGCACTGTTCGTATTCCGCACGCCTGCGGAGATTTTCGCTCTCAAAGAGGTCTCTATAATGTTTTTCGATATCGGCCATCTTCAGAGGACACCGCTTAGGAGCGTCGGCATTCATTACGGTTTGCACGACCTTTTTCCTTTTATTATAGTAATTATATTGTGCAACCTCATATTGACACTGTTCTTGCCGACGACTCATGTCTACTTTGTTGGCTCTTTGCGGATTTGAGACTTGTCCAGCACCCTTGTCAGTCACTTTAGTTTTATTTTTTTTCTCAATCTGTAAAATTTGACGGCTGGGTGCTGGGGACCTGGCAGTTCCGCATTGATATTCTTGCGAAATTTCAGGAACCTGGCTACGGCCTCATCAAAATCCGCAATATTTATCGTGCTTTCTTTTGAGAGGTTCTTGAACACAGTAGACCATCCAATAATGTCCTCTTTTATTTTTGATACCTCACCCTCTCCATTTTTAGGACCTATAATATTTTCCACTATGCCCCTCAGTGTATTGCTGTTAGCCTCCCTGGGGTGCTTTTTTGCAATATAGGTTCCAAGACCTCTTTCACCCTTAAAAGAAAGCCTATATATGGGACAAACTTTATTATCAGGGCGTAGAACTTCGTCCTCCTGCTCTCTGTTCACCTCCGTCACATTCTACGGAACATTTGGCAATGCTGGAAAGACATCATCTATCGAAACTGTCTTTCCCAATAGTACACCTTCTGTGTCTGGCCATTTGACTTTTACCAATTTCTTTTCACCGCCTTCCGCGGCATCCACAGACATCACAGAGGCAACAACAGCCTCCTGAGCAGGTCCTCCTGTTATCAAAACCCATACCCTCTGGCTAATCTCGACTTCATTCATTGTCCTTATGTCCACTCAAAATCCAATATTCCTCTTAGAGACCATGCGTACTACACGCATGGTCAAAACAAACCATCTAAAGGAGAGTGGACCCGTATACAAATAAATAAAAACTAAACGGGAGAGACATGCATATATGCCAACATACACACTTAAATATCAGATTAATAATATCAAATGCTTAAAAGGAGTTAAAATGTAAAATAAATAGAGCCCAAGTTAAACAGGTTAATCAATAAGTTAAAATCTATCTTAAAACTAAGCTAAAATATAAAATGAAATTAAAATCTATAGACTCTATTGCTTAAAATTAAGTTAAAATATATAAAATAAAT